CTTCGGTCTAGGCCCGAAACGTCAGCCTCTCTGCTCCTATGATGCTGCTTGGCCTGCTGTGTTCATCCAGCCCTGCACCTTGTTGTCTCGGATTCTCCAGCATCTGCAGTTCCTACTATCTCGTGTTGAATCTTTAATCAGTTAGAAAGGAAACGTAGGTTTCCATTGATTAAGATGCAAATCCCAGAATTTCTTTCAAGTCATTGCCCCGAGAAAATTAAAGGTTTTATTGGTCTATACAAGAGGTGACATCTCAGGACAGGACAATGCATTTTAGATGTGAGGCCTTGTTTAGAATCTGTCTGTGTTTTAACCTGGAGTCAGGCTGGTTTTATTTTGTTGAACAAAACAGAATGTATCTGCCAATACACAAACATCTTGGATGAAATAATTCACCCTATAGGTTTATACATGTGTGTATGTGTGAGAGACAGAGAGATAGAAAGAGTGTATGTGTGCACGTATGTGCTTGAGAGAGAGTGTGTGTGAGGAAGTGTATGTGTATGTGTGAAAGAGTGTGTTTGACAGAGTATATAGTATGGTGGAGTCACCTGTTGCGCAACATGAATTCAAGATCATGGTTGAGGCCATCCACATGGGTATGGAACTTGGCTATCAGACTCTGCTCATCAATTTTGTGCTGTTGTGTATCTTGGAGGATGCTTACCCTAAGATCGGAGGATGACCGCTGAAGTGCTCCCCCACTGGGAGGGACCACGTCTGTTTGGCGATTGCTACATGGTGTCCATTCATTCACTGTCATACCATACGCATGATCTTGCCAGTATACCATGCCTTGGGGCATCCTAGCCTGCAGCGTATGAGATAGACAAGGTTGGCTGAGTCACATGAGTATCTGCCATGTACGTGGTGTTCCCATTATAAGATGGTGGTATCCATGTCAATGATCTGATATGTCTTGCGTGGCAGAGTTGTGTTGTGGTCCATATTGTCCTGAAGGTTGGGTAGTTTCTGTTTAAGGTTTGGCGAATCAGCCTTGATCATATTGAATGGTGAAGGGAAGACTCGAGGACCAGAACTACTTACTCCTTGTTCATATTTGGCATGTTCTTATGAGCAACGCAGCTTCTGCTCTTCGTAAATATTTTTAATCAAACTGCTCAAGACATCAGGGTGAGCTGAATAGAGACCAAGCCTTCACCTGGCGGACCCGACATTATGCGGAGAAAAAAAGCCGAGACCAGCAGAACGCATGCGCCTTGCCCTCTTGTGTAAACGGGAGAACAACGAACAAGGGAGGGGGCCGACACTGATTGGTCCCTTTGAATCCAGCTGAACTCTGACCCGAAGGCACTGCCGCTTCGAATTGGCCGCGGGAATAAACGGCCGGATTTCAAACTTTGCGCGAGGAGGATAATTTGAGTTCGATTCGCGGAGTCAGGGAAAGAAGGTACCAGCTGGTAGAAGGTAAGACTGTGGTCTAGGAAGCCTGTGCAGATATTACCTGTGGCATAGGGAGTCTGCACAGATATTGCCCACAGGTATTTGGAAGGTGTAGGGAGGCTAGATCATTTCTCCGGTAACCCCCTACGGCTCGTTGTCTGGGTTTTACTCCAGAGCAGTATTTTTTTTAAATTGAAAAAGTAATGCATCTATTTTAGGTTTCCAGCATTCTCTGTTTTGTTTTAATACTTGCGGGCAATATTCCTGGTTTTTTTTCTATTTGGGTTTATTTGCGCAATATTGGAGATATTTTCGAAATGCACCTCTTTTTCCGGCATAAATTTGGGTAGGGTATACACTGTGCAGCCCGGCTGGACTTTTGCTGCTGATCTCCTTAACCTTTTATACCCCTCGATATTGTTTAAAATCTGCATATATTTCCGAACCTTTTATAGTATGATATACTCTAATATCATAGAGTACGGTGTTCCCCATTTAAAAAAAAATGGGCGTGAGTGTTGCTGCCTGGATCAGCAAGTATTCACTTGTGGCCCACCTTTGAGAAGGTGCCATGAATCATGATGATAATCTGTTTGGTGTAGGGACGCCCACAATGTTGCTAGGGAGGGCAATGCCAGGATTTAGGCCCAATGATGTTGAAGGAATGGCAATTAAATTTCTAGGTCAGGATATTGAGTGGATCGGAGATGAGCTTGGTGATATTTCCATGTATCTGCTGCTCTTGTCTTTCTGGATGGAAGTGGTGATGTTGTCAAAGCAGCCTTGCTGAATTTCTACAGTGTATCGTATAGATGTGCGCGCTGCCGCTACTGAGTGTCAGTGGTGGAAGGAGTGGATGAATTGAGTATATAGTGCTAATCAAGTAGGATGAGGTCGTTAAAAAACGAAAGAACTGCGGATGCTGTAAACCAGGGAACAAAACAGAAGTTGCTGGTAAAGCTCAGCATGTCTGGCAGCATCTGTGAAGGGAAAAACAGAGTTAACGTTTCGGGTCCGGTGACCCTTCCTCAGAACTGACTGCGAAAAGTCAGTTTATATGCAGAAAAGAGGGGATGGGGTAAGGAGTAAATGATAGGATAGAGCCTGAAGAGAGAGAAGAGCAGTTGGACAGACACAGTTGATAATGATCAGGCTGGGAGGGTGAATAGTTGTTAGTGGGGACTATTAGTGACTAATAACCGGTGGTGTGTCATGGCAGGCTCTGTGGTAACAGGGCCTGGTGTGTGGGGTTGGGGCATGGGACGTGGGAGAGTTTAGGCCCTAAAATTATTGAACTCCATATTGAGCCCGGAGGGCTGCAGGGTCCCCAAGCGGAGAATGAGGTGTGGGCAAGTGGGGACTCATCTGTCATACTCATGATGATGCCCTGAGCATGGTGTTACAGACTTTAGGAAGTTGAGTGGTGTTAATTGCTGCAAGATTCCTAGCCTCTAACCTGCTTTTATAGATACTGTATTTATATGGTGAGTCTGGCTGAGTTTCTGGTCAGTGATAACTCCCAGGATTTTGATGGTAGGGGATTCAGTGATGGTAAAACCATTGAATGTCAGGGAGCTGTGTTTAGATTGTCTCATTGGTGATGGTCATTGCCTGGCATTTGTGTGGCATGAATGCTTTTCCCCAATTGTCAGCTCAAGCCTGGATGTTGTCCAGATCTTGGCTTTGTGTGTGGGCTGCTTCAGAATCTAAGCAGTTGTGAATGATGCTGAATATTGTATAGTCATCAGTGAACATCCCTATGCCTGAATTTTATGATGGGGTGCGAGAGGGAAGATCACGAGTGAAGCAGCTGAAGATGTTTGGACTAAGGACATGCCCTTGCAGGAGTTCTGCAGGGTAGTCCTGGAGCTGAGATGACTGACCTCCAAAAACTACAACCATCTTTTGTTCCAGGTATGATTCTAACCAGCAGTGAGTTCCTGATTCCCACTGACCATCTCTGGAGCTCTTTGATGTCACACTCTAGCTAAGTGTGGCCATGATATCAAGGGCAGTCATTCTTACCTCACCACTAGAATTCAGCACTTGTGTCCATGTTTGGACCAAGTCTGTCATGCAGTCAGGAGTAGAGTGACCCTGATGAAATCCAAACTGAGTGTCAGTGTGCAGGCTATTTATGTTAAGTGAGTGCTGCTTACTAGAACTGATGAATCCTTCTATCACTTTACTGCTGATTTGAGTTGACTGATGGACTGGTAATTGATGGGTTGGATTTGACGTGCTTTTTCTGCAGAGTACAATCTTGGGCAATTTTTCAGCATTGGGTAAATGCTAGTGTTGTAGACATGTGTTTGCTGCTACTGATTGTTCCCTGATGAAACCAGCTGAACTTTGACATGCATGCACAGCCACTTTGATTTGGCTGCAGGACTAAAAAGATTTTAAAATTTATACAAGGAGGATGATCTGGGCCCATCGTGAGATGGGGAAGAGGGCAGCGATGACAACTAAGTGACATGTCAGCATGGTGAGCTGGCTCCACCAGATACTGAAAGGGTGAAGGGAGTAGCAGAAGAACAGATAGTTGTTTGGGAATCTGCTGAGGCTTGGTGTGTGGTTTTTACTCCAGTGCATCTCTTTATTCATTCTTAACTTTTATTTTGGATTTCCAATTCTGATTTTGCTGGAACACAGTTCAGGGGTATGGCTAGTTCAAGAGCATATCTTGATTGCCAGAATATGGTTGGGGCCCACAACTTTGGCAGTACGCAAAGCCTCCAACTGTTCCTTTTATCACTGAATCAAATTGATAGCCACTAGAAGTGGCTGAGATAAGCTGTCCCCTTGGCACTATAGGCTGAAGATTGTTGTGAATGCTTCAGTCTTATTTTTTAACACTGTATTGGGCTACCCCATTAAGACAGGGATTGTGGGGTTGAGATGGCAAGAACTGCAGATGCTGGAGTCAGAGATAACAAAGTGTGGAGCTGGAGGAACACAGGTGAAGAAGGGTCCCAACCCGAAATGTCAGCTTTCCGGTTCCCCTGATGCTGCCAGGCCTGCTGTGTTCCTCCAGCTCCACACTTTGTTTGTTATTTATGTTAGTGGGGTTGCAACCTCCAACAAGCTGTTAATTGTCAAATTTCAAATGGATGTATTTTGTGGGAAATAATGCGTTCTTTTGTGTATAGACCTCAATGTGCAACATTCACTACCGAAACTAGAAATCAGTGTTAGCAAGCTAATTGGCTAATCGGGGTGCCATGGTGGCTCAGTGGCTAGCACTGCTGCCTCAGCACCAGGGACTAGGTTTGATTCCAGCCTGCGGCAACTGTCTGTGGATTTTGCATGTTCTCCCCATGTCTGTGTGGGTTTCCTCCGCAGTCCAAAGATATGCACATTAAGTGGATTGGCCATGTTAAATTGCCTGTGGTGTCTAGGATGGGAAATGTAAGGATAGGGTAGGGGTGGGTCTGGTTGGGATGCTCTTCGGGTCAGTGTAAACGTGATGGGCTGAATGGCCTCCTTCCACACAGTAGGGATTCCATGGAATCTCTAGGTGGTTGCACTGCTTAGAGGGAAGATTGCCTGTCGGTCAAGTTTTCTTCTCCTTCCAGATCATGTATTCAATTTTGTTCAATCATTAGGAGATTCCAGATCCCAACAGCGTTCCCACAGGAAATGCTAAACTATCCAAATGACTCTTGGAAAGTTCTCCTTAACGTCTTAACTTCTGGAGGCTTCTCAAGGTTGGGAGAGTTGTCCTATGGACTACTGCATCAAGAGAAAATGGTGGAGAAACTGTGCAGGTCTAGTAACATTTGTGGGGAGAGAAACTGAGTTAACACTTTGATTCAGATTTCTAACTTTTGCTGTTTATAACATCTTGAAATAACCCCAGTCACTGATTTTTAATGTTTTGACCATTGACCAAGTCACCTTTTCGCTTAATATTATATTTGTTTTATGTGCCTTGTGATTCCTAAAGATCCTATGTGAAAACAAGTTGTAATAAAAGCCATATTCTTTGGTCTGCTTAAAACCAAAAAAGTAGAAGGATTCTGAAATATAGTCTCCTGTTTCTCTGCACATGATTTCCTTGTTCAATTTTCTATCATTTGACAATTTTAAGCATTTATGATAAGCCCATTAGTTCTACCACACAGATGGTAGTCTGTCTTCACCCCTCATTTTCCCCTATATTCTGGCATCAGTCATGCATTTTCCAACAGTAGCTGATTTTTAGAGCCATACATCATGGAAACAGGCCCTTCAACCCAAGTATTAAGCTGATTAGGCTTCCTAAAGTGAACTAGTCCTATTTGCCTGTGTTTGGCCCATATCCCTCTACCTTTCCTATCCATGTACCTGTCCAGATGCCTTCTTTAAATGCTGTAATTATACCTATGTCAACCACTATGGCAGCTGGTTCCAAATACACACCACCCTCTGTGAAAATGTTTCAGCCTATCCAGCCTCTTCTTAAACTCAAACTGAAATGTTCAAGTCTAGTTAACAACCTTGCAAATCTTTTTTGCATCCTTTCCAGTTTAATAACATCCTCCCTAAAGCAGGGTGACCAGAATTGTATATACTACTTCAAATATGTCTTGCACAGCTGTAACGTGATATCCCAACTCCAGTATGAAACACAAGAATTTCTGGCGAGAGATGTTACTGCCTTGATGTCAAAAAAAAATTCTCAATTGCGTGAGGCATTGAGCTTGATGTTGAAGCTGAATTAGGTTTTGCTCAATTTCTGTCTGTTAATGGAAGAGAAGCAGGAAGTCTTAAGGATACCTTTGCCATCTCTGGTTCCTGGTAGATTTTGGTAATTATGGTTAACTAATATAATCTGTACCTGTACTATATTTTAATAATGTATTAGTTTAAGATGAGTGCCCCTGTCTTAACACTCGAGTGGTTTATCCTTTCCACTGTTCGTTAGGCACCTGGAACTGCACAGAGCGCATCACTCCTCTAGAAGATGACTTTGATTTGATTTTGAGCCATTTGTTATCATATAGTAAGTTTCTTTTTCTTTTTTTGATTCTTTGCTTTCTGTTACAGTACCCCACTAGGGCCTGTTGAGACCAATTTATGTTTTAAGAGTCGAATGCATGATATTGGTGGTAGCACTCCACTCATACCAGGGTAACACCTACCCAGAAGTCTATGGGAGTCTGGACAAAACTCTTTACTGCTAAATGGCAATAACTTGAGCTGTGTGGTACAAAATTGGCAGAAAACAGCATTACCATTTCCAAGTCCTTTGCCATTGACTAGAAACTTCAATTGAGTACAAGAGCAAGTCAAAGATGAGTATACTGCAGTAAATCCCTTCCAGATTGCAAAGTTGCCTCTCAACTTGTAAGTATGAGCATAGTTCCAAAAGCAGCTTTACCGCTCCAGGGCAATTAAACTTTTAATTTAAATTGGTGGATGCGATGATCTGACTGCATTCTGTATCACCAACATACTGAGCAATTTCTTAAACTTTCAGCAGCAACGCTTAACCTCACCATCCTTGTGCCTCAAGACTAGTATGGCAGATGGAACACTACTTACTAGTCATTACCTCCCTAATCTGGAAGTGTATTGCTATCCTTTCATCTCTGGGTAAAAACTCTAGCCCCGAACTGCAAAAAGAGAGAATGGTAGGGATTTTAGGGGGTGAGGGTGGGATTTCAGTTATCTGAATAAATTAGGACATTTTTAAGAGAGTTGACAGTCCTCCAAAATGAGGCTGCTGGACAGATTTTTGAAGAAAATTGTTAACCAGATGGCACTGAGTGATAGACTTAGAATTTCACCTGATTTCAGAAATGGTGGAAGTAGATTCTGTATGGATTTCAGAAGAAAATCAACTTGCAGAGCTGAATGCTGAAAGGCAGGCAGCCATCCAATACGTTTATTAATGGTGCTGTTTTAGCAACTTTTTTTTTCATTCATGATAACTATATTGTCAATTCTTCTTTATGGTGTTCACAATTCTTTGGCTGTTTTTGATGTGTATCTAACTGTTCTAGCAATTAGCAATTTTAAGCTCCTTGAATCGATACAATGAGAAAATAAATTTGGCGTAGGAGCATAAGAACTTGGAGCGTGAATAGATAACTCAGCCCTTCGAGCCCACTCTGCCATTTTAACGTGCTCATGGCTGATCTTATCCTGGTCTCAACTCCACTTCCTGCCTGCTCCCATGTCCCTCTATCCCACATTTCATAAGAAATCTATTTATTTCTTTCTTTCTTAATTCTGCACTCTGGGGTAGTGAGTTCCATAGTTCCACAACACTCTGAAGTTTCTCTTTTTTAACTTTTGGGCCAATCTCCTCTCACTCTATTTATCTATGATCTCTTGTTCTACGCTTTCCCACAAGGGGGAGCATCTATGCAACATCCACCTTTGTCAATCCCTCTTAGCATTTTGTATACTTCAGTCCGATACCCCTCATCCTTCTGACCTTGTGGGACCAACACAAGTTATTCAACCGCTCCTTGTATGACAGCCCTTTGATTCCAGGGATGAATCTGGTGAACTTCCTCTGAACTGCCTCCAATGCCACCACAACCTTCCTCAAGTTAGGAGACCAACAATGGACAGTTGTATAATTGTAATAACATTACTTTTATAATCCAGTCATTTTGCAATAAATGCCAAAATTCTATTTGCCTTTCTTATGATATGTTGCACCTGCATACTGACTTCCTGCAATTCATGCACAAGGACACCCAGATCCTTCTGTACTGATGCATTTTGAATCTGCTTCCTATTTAAATAATAATTTGCCTTATTTCACTGGCCAAAATGCATAACTTCACACTTACCACATTAAACTCCACTTGCCAGAATCTGATCCATTCTCTCAGCCTATCAATATCCATCTGTAAACTCTTAAATCTCCATCCTACTTTCCCATCTATTTTAGTATCGTCTGTGAATTTTGCTATGTTACACTGTCCTTACTTGTAGATCATTTGTATAGATTGTAAGTAGTTGAGGTCTGACAACTGAATTCTGCAGCACTATAGTTTGCCATCCAGAGAAGGACCTAATTATCCCAACCCTCTTTGACAGTCAGCTAATCCTCTATCCGCTGTACCGTTAATGACTCCCCACCCCCCACATCAATCTTTTACATGATGCCTTGTCAAATTCCTTCTGGATGCCTAGATATATCACATCCTTTGCATCCCTATTCATCTTGCTGGTTACATCCTCAAGAACTTCTTCAGGTTTGTCAAGCATGACTTGCCCTTCATTAAACTGTGCTGGCTCCAGTGATTTGCCATTTGTTTTTTCCAAATGTTCCGTGATCTCCTCTTTGATTGACTTCAGCAACTCCTTTCCTGCGCGCCCTCCCCTCGACTACAGAGGTCAAACTAACTGTCTTTAGGCAACAAGTGGGAAATTATCTCTTTTTTTTAATAACGGTGTCACCTTAGCGTGTTTCTAATTCACTGGTACCTTTCCAGAATCCAGAGAATTTTGGAATATCATAACTAATGCACCTACTATCTTTGCCATCTTATTTGAATACATTAGTGTGCAGGGCTGTCAGGCCCCAAGGACTCGTGGCGTCTTGTGTTGAAATAGTTCTATTTTTTAAAAAAATCAGCATTTGATAGAAATGTAGATGGCTTCTCCAAGTAAACATTGACATTTTCTCTTCATTTATAGAATGAATTTAGGTGAAAACGCTGTCGTAATGAATGAGCAATGTGAGTCATTAACAGTGGAGGCTACAGGGAAGCCATCAATTCTTCGAATATCACAGAAGGAGAATTTCCCTCCCAAAGGGTCAATGAAACTATCAAAGGTGGGCTATTCATTTAATTGTGTTCATGGGATGTGGGTGTCGCTGGTTAGGCCAGCTTCTTTTTCTTTCTTCCTTTGCTCCTGTCATCACCCCTCAGCACCAGAGGCAAGTGCCAGCAGCATGTCCCTGCAGCAGCAAGTCCTGGAGTGCGAGCCTGGGAAATGAGCCAGAACCCTGCATGAGGCTGCGAGCCTTGGAGCGCTGTGACTTACCTTATTGCTGGTGAGGAATGGACTGGAGGCTGGTATGATGTGGTCCAGTTGTTTGGACTTGGCCCTGGCACCATGTGCTGACCTGCTGCCGTTTGGTACTCTTAATGGACTGTAATGTAAATCCTTACCTTTCAATCCTCTCAAAACATCTTTTTTACTTTGTAAGATTTGTACCTAGGTGCCTGTGCTTATGATGGTGCCATTAAAAGGCAGCCATTGTAAAAAGTTCTAACTACTCCTGTACTGAGTACAGATGACAACAAAGGATATTCTATACTCTATCTATTCTTTGCCCATTCCAAAGTGCCCTTTTTAGGTGATGCCTTGAACCATTTAAACTCCTTTGTTTTCGGCACCTGTTATGTAGTTCCAGGATTTTGATCCCGCAATGGGGAAGGACTGGCAATGTAGTTCCAAATCAGGTGATGAGTGGCTTGGAGAGGAGTTTTCATGTGGTGGTACTCCATCATTCATCTACCCTTCCAGATTATAGACATCATGGTTTTGGAAGGTACTATTAAAGGAACCTTGGTGAGTTGCTGCAGTTAATCCTGCGGATGTTTGTATACTGTCACTAAATGTCAATCGTGAAGGAAGTGCATGTTGAAAGTAGTGCTTGACCTACCGATGAAGCAGGCTGCTTTGACCTGGATGATATTGAGCTTCTCTAGTTTTGATGCTTTCATAAGCGTTCCATCACACTTCTAGATTATACTGTGGACAGTCTTTTGGGAGTTAATTTTTTTAAGCCTCTTGTGGGACCTGAGCATTGGCTGTCTGGGCCAACACTGTTGCTCATTCCTAGTTGCCCTTTGAGTGGAGTTGATCCACCATCGTGAATCACTGCAGTCCAGGTGCTGTAAGTAGATTCACAATATTATCAGGGCTGGAATTCCAGGATTTTGACCTAATGAAACTGGAGGATGGCATTATAAGTCAGTCTGGTAAGTGGTTTGGAGGTGAATTTGCAGCTGGAATTCCTAGTTTCTGACCTATTGTTAAAGATGCAGTACTTGTGTAGCTTGTCCAGGTCAATGGCAACCCCAAGGATGTTAATGGTGGGGGATTTGCCAAAGGAGAGTGTCAAGGGGAAGTGGTTAAATTGGTCACTTATTAGAGCTGGCCATTATGCTGCACTTGAGTAGTGAATGTTACTTCAATTATTTGCTGAAGCCTGGGTGCTGTATATGGGCATGAATGGCTTTAGTATTTGAGCAGCCATGCACTGTGCTAAACATTGCACTTTTCTGACAATAATTATTAGGTTCTTCACCACTTTATTGAATTTGTAATTGAATAGTTGGTTGGCAAACCATTAAATTTAAGTTTTGTATTGGCTTTCTGTAAGAGGAGCTTGGCTAGTTTCTCTTCCAATTCTGATTGCCCTTCTGTAAGAAGGATGTTGTTAAACTTGGTGCAGAAATTATTTGCAAGGATGTTGCCAGGACTGGAAGGTTTGACTTGTAGGCCAAAGCTGAATATTCTGGAGCTTTTTTCCATAGAGTGTTGGAGGCTGAGTTGTGACCTTTTATAGAGATCTCTAAAATCATGAGGGGCCATGGATAGGGTGAATAGGTTTTTTTCTTGGGTGGGAGAGTCCAGAACTTTTTTTTCTATTCATTTGTGGGATGTGGGTGTCACTGGCTGGCTAGCATTTCTTGCCCATCCCTAGTTACCCTTGAAGGTGGTGGTGAGCTGCCTTCTTGAGGGAAAAGATTTAAAGAGGACCTGAGGGGTAACCTGCATGAAGAAGGTGGTGATTTATATGGAATGAACTGCCAGTGAAAATGATGGAGGCGGGTACAATTACAACATTTTAAAAGGCATCTGGATGGGTAAATGAAGAGGAAGGGTTTAAAGCAATATGGGACTAGGTCAGATTGGGATGTCTGGTCGGCACAGACAAGTTGGACCGAATGGTCTGTTTCCATGCTGTATGACTGACTCGACTTTCCCCAACAGCCCTGATACTGCAATGCTTATCAAATTTTATTTTGAAAAGCCTAATTTTTCTATCTGCCCCACCACGCATCCAGTGCATTCCGGATGTGCTCCAATGTAGCTAACTTTCTTTTGGTATTGTTTTGTTCTGAAGTTATAAGCTACATCTAAGTTTGAAACATTTCAACATTGTTTTTAACTTTGCTTCTTCTTGGACAGTATCTGCATATCTTTAATTCCGAAGCATCACCCTTTGTGATCTGTCCTTGTGTATACACATGACCCTTTTTTCAGTGCAAAGTTTGGATGACACCCCACCTTGATTTGGACTTGTAGTAATTTCTTCACTCTAATGGACTAGCAGCTCAGAGATGGAATTAAAATTTCATGTAGAGGTATTGGGAGAGCTCAACTTTTATTCAAATTGTGTTCAGTTTCAATGTAGTTGGCATATCTCTCTGGCTGCTAATTTGAGCTTCAGACCTTTCCATCTCAATTCCCCGTTCAGCCGGCATCTTATATATTCAAATAATGTAGTGATGAAGGTACAAGAGAAAGAATGCTAAGCACGGCTCTTGATGTTTTCCTGAAGTGCTGGTGCTTTTTTGTTTTTGTATTTTCAGATTTAACTGCAGCATACGAACTCTAATTTAAACTAAATGTACTGGTCACAAATGCATGCTGTAATGTTATTGGTATATTTTGACAAAGTTTTTAAGATGTCTTTTTTTGTATTAGGTGTCTTTTCAGACTCCTGTAAGAGATCCTGTTACACGCAAAGTTCTCGGTACACATCTGACTAATAGATGTGATGGGATTAATTCATTTGAGGCTGAAATAAATACGAGGAGCACGGAGAGTCGAGGAAATCCTGATCTGACTGAGGCAAAAGAGTGAGAAATACTTTGGATTATGTTAAAAACTGTATTTAAATTGTACATCAAGATATGATGACTTTTTAGATGTTTTGCACACTTTGGCTGCTTTGAGTTGACTGTAGTACCATAATTATCTTTGGAGTGCTTTCCATTTTTTTTTCTTGTCCTGCAGGGAAGCTTTTCCCTAAATTTTTTGGGAAAAATGACTTTTTTTTTTTTTTTTTTTGTTGGCCCTATCTTGCTAAAATCTTCTTCAAAATTTTGGCTGAATTTTAGGGCTGACAGCAATTAGATTAGTATCAATCTTGTTATATGCAAAATAAAAAAGGCACATTTCTTCCTCTGAATGCAAAGCCTTTCTCTATCCTTGCTTTCATGTCACATCTTACCTGGCTCCTCATAGTGACACTTACTTTCTTTTTGACTCTGCAATTGGCGTGTCAGCTTAGACTTTTTTTGATCCAGCTGGTAGAAAGCCTCAATTACTTGGTGCACATTATCAGGTTTCCCTCCCAAGAAACAATCCATTCCAAATTGACACACATCTTCATCCCTTCGATGTCAGCTAGCTAACCAACAGCATTGAGTACCTTCACCAAATGAATTGTTTCACTTCATGGTGAACAAGTACTAGAGTCCATGTGCAATGAAAATGAATTGATATACAATTCTTGCACAGACAGTTAAAGGTCAACATGCAAAAAAGCAGAAGCAGCAAACAAAACTGGTTAGGTTTAGTTCCCTTTGTAGGCCTGGAAAAGCAAATGGTAAAAGAGGCAAGGGAAAATGCCTTCAGAGATTTAATTCTGCATTGTGTGTGGGCATGTGTGTTTTGCAAATCCACTTGGGAGCAAGGACTCCAGTGGATGCAATGAAAAAGAAAAGTAAAGATTGTCCATTCAATTCTCAAGTATATTTAAAAAGGAAGAGAGCGGCCAAAGTGAATGTTGGTACCTCTGGAGGATGACTGGAAGTTAATAATGGGGAAAACAGAAATTGTCACTGAAAAATCAATATTTTACTTCAGTTTTCTCAGTGTCAATTATTTGAGACACTAGTACCACCCCAATAGTAACCAGTAATGCAGAGGTTATGGAAATGGAAGAATGTACAATAATCGTAATTACTAGAGACAATTACTGAGGAAGATTTTGGGAGTGAAGACAGACAAGTCCTCTGCCTCATGGCCAACATCCTAGCATCTTAAGAAGTGGCAGCTGAGATAGTGGATCCATTGTTTTTTAAAATATTCCTAAATTCCCAAGATGTGCGAAGGGTTCCTATGGATTGGGGAAAAATACCAATATAACTAACTACAGGTAGGCAATAAAAATGCTGGCCAGGCAGCAATGCCCATGACCTAAGAGTAAGCAAAAACACCCTTCCTCGAAAAGAGGGACGCAGAAAGCAAGAGACTGCAGACCATTAATTTCCCAACATCACATGTTAAGCTATTAGAATCCATTATTAAGGAAGTAATAACAGAATATTCTAAGGTCAAAATAATCCATCTGAATCTTCATGATTTTTATGAAGGGTAAATCATACCTGATTGATTTTGCTCCTTTGTTTGTTTAGATGTAAATGCTTGACACATCAATTTATTATTCTGGAGGACTTCCTCAATTACACTGGAGGGTTGTTTGACAAATTATTTGAACATGGAAAACCACTAATTGTGTATTGTGGACTTGTTCTAATGTAATTTTGAGTACGATAGTGAAGTTGTTTCAAATAAGTATTCTTCTTCAAAAACCATGACTTTTTCAATTATCTGAGGAGTTGGACTTGAAATACCATAGGAGCAGAAGTAGGCCATTCAGCCCATTTTGAGTCTGCTCTATTGTTCAATGAGATCATGGCTGATCTCTCAATTCCATTTCCTATCTTTTTTTTCCCCATAACCCTTATTGAGTTTAAAAATCTTAGTTTGTGCTCTGGATATAATTAATGACCCAGCCTGGACAGCCCTCTCCAGGAAAGAGTTCCACAGATGTACTGCCCTCTAAGAGGAGAAATTCCTTCTGTCTTGAATGTATAGCCTCTTACTTCTAAGATTATGCCCTCTTGTCCTTGACTGTCCCCAAAGGGGCAAAAACCTTTTACACATCTACCCAGTCTTGTTTGTTTTAATAAGGTTCTCTCTGACCCTGCTTTTGTTCCAATAAAAACAATAGAATTTCCTCGACCTATCCTAAGACAGTCTACCCGTACCTGGTATCAGCCTAGTGAATCTTCTGTGTGCTGTCCCTAATGCCAGTATCACTTTCAGTATTTCAGTTGTGGTCTGACTAGTGTCTTGATTACTAAAACTTACCCACTTTTACACTATTTGCTGTGAAATAAAGATCAGCATTCCACTTGCCTTTCCTATTGCCTGCTGAACTTGGAGGCCTTTTTGATTCATGACTGTGCAGTTTTTTTCCCTGAGATTCCCATAATGTCAGGTAATGATCAGGTCCTGGGGATTTGGGCTAGTTTTGTTTTAAGACCTCCAGCACCACCTATTTTGTAATGTGGATCCTTTTTAAGACATTACTATTTATTTCCCCATGGTTCCTAGCTTCTATGTCTGTCTTCATGGTAAATATGGACGCCTTAAATATTTGTTTAGCATCTCAGTCTCCTGTGGCTCCAAACAAAAGACAACTTTGTTGATCTGTATGAGGTCTTATTCTCCCTAGTTGCTCTTTACCCTTAATATACTTGTTGAACCTATTTGAATTCTCCTTGCCTTATCTGCCAAAGCTATCTTGTGTCCCCTTTTTACCCTTTGGATTTCCCTCTTAAGTGTACACCTGTACCCCCTAAAGTCCTTGAGGGATTCACTTGATCCCAGATACCAATACCTCCTTTTTTTTCGTCCTTGATCAGAGTCTCAATATCTCTAATCATCCAGTGTTCCCTACTCATACCAGACTTGCCCTTCTCACTAATAGGAAAAGCTGGCCCTGAACTCTTATTATCTCACTTTTGAAAGCCCCCCCCACCCCCCCAAACGCTAGGTGTCCCTTTACCTGTGAACAGCCTCCCCCAAAGTTCCTGTCTAATTGTTAAAATTGGCCTTGCCCCAATTTAGAGCTTAACTCATGGACCAAACATATCCCTTTCCATAACTGTGTGTTAGATTTAAAACTAACCAAATTATGGTCGCTGATCCCAAAATGCTCTCCAACAAACCCTTCAGTCACTTGTCCTACCTTATTTCCCAAGAGGATGTCAAGTTTTGCCCGTTCTCCAGTCAGGCCATCTGCATATTGATTGAGTGAGTTCTTTTCCTGAATACTTAACTAATTCATCCCTATCCAAGCCCTTAACCTTTTGGCAGTCCGAGACTTTGTTTGTTTGGAAAGTTAATCTCCTATATTACAACCCTATTATTATCCTTACAGCTATCTGATCTCCCTGCATATTTGCTCCTCTATTTCCTGCTGACTATTGGGGAGCCTATTGTACAATCTCATCAGTGATCATCCCCTTCTTTCTTGGTCCACCCATATAGCTTTTGCTGGATGATCCCTCAGGAATATCCTCTCTAAGCCTTGCTGTGATGTTTTCCCCAGTCAAAAACACCATGCCCCCATCTCTCTCATCTTCCCCTCTATCCTTCCAACAGTATCTATACCCTACAGCATGGAGCTGCCACTCCTGTCCTTCCCTCAACTATGTTTCTGCAATAGCTGAGATCCCAATCCTATGCTTCTATCCATGCCCTGAGTGCATCTGCCTTGCCTGTCAGGCCTCTTACATTGAATTAAACTGCATTTATTTCATCAGTCTTCCCTCATTCCCTGCTGCGCTCTCGCCTGGTTGATTTAACTTGCTTTTTTCAAACTACTGTACTAGCCTCAAACTTCTTTTTTGTCTCTATATAATCCAGGGTCCCACCCCACTGCCAGACTAGTTTAAACCCTCCCAAGTAACTCCAGCAAATCTGTTAGGATGTTGGACCCAATACTACCAGCGCATCCAGTATCTCTGAAGCTACTTTCCTTTGATACCAAAGGATGTATCCCATTAGATTCGGAAACTTTAGTGTTTAAACCATAAGATATAGGGGCAGAGTTAAGCCATTTGGCCCACCAAGTCTGCTCTGCCATTCAATCGTGACTGTGTTTCTCAACCTCATCCTCCTGCCTTTTTACCCCATTGTCTTTTGGTCTCCTTACTAAGCAGAACATCGATTGCTCATTAATATGCCAATGACTTGGCCTCTACAGCCTTCTGCAGCAATGATTTACACAGATTCACCACCTGTGGCTGAAGAAGCTCCTCATCTCTGTTCTAACAGGTTGCCCCTTCTCTCTGAGGTTGATGATGTCAAGCCTAGTGTCTTGTACGAATGGAAGCATCTTTTCTGTCTACTCTCCAGGTCTCCATGTATTAATTTTTTTTTTTCTTAAATCAGATGTCCACACTATTCTACTTTCCGCTGCCCCCTGCCATTGGCTATAGACCCAGAGTCCTCAATTGTTCTTCGTCCTCAATTGTTCTTCATGTGACAATGACTTTATCTCCTGGAACATTCTTATAAACCTCCTTTGGACCCCAGGATCCAAAACTGTTCATAATAATTCAAATGTGGTCTGACCAGAGCCTTGTACTGTGTCAGCAGTACATCGCTGCCCTTGTATTTTAGTCCTCTTGAAATGTATGCTAACACTGCATATGCCTCCCTAACTACCACCTGAACCTGCATCTTAACATTAAGAGAATCCTGAATTCAGACTCCTCAGATATTGAAGCAGTCCATGTTCATATGCAACAAGATCTGGACAATATCCAGGCTTGGGCTGACGAGTGGCAAGTGACATTTGCACCACACAAATGCCAGGCTATGACCATCACCAATAAGAGACAATCTAACCACCATCCCTTGACATTCAATGGTGTTATCATCACTAAATCTCCCATTATCATATCCTGGGGACTACCATTGACCAGAAACTCAACTGGACTCACCATATTAATAATGGCTACAAGTGCAGGCCAGAAACTAGGAATACTGTGGCAAGTAACTCTCCTCCTGACTCCTTTAAAGCCTGTCCACCATCTACAAGGCATGAGTCAGGAGCGTGATGGAATACTCCCTACTTGTCTGGATGAGTACAGCCCCAACAATACTCAAGAAGCTTGACACCATCCAGGACAAAGCAGCCCGCTTGATTGGCACTATATCCACAAGCATCCACTCCCTCCTCCACCACTGACGCTCAATAGCAGCAGTGTGTATTATCTACAAGATGCACTGCAGAAATTCACCAAAGATCCTCAGACAGCCCCTTCCAAACCCATGACCACTTCCATCTAGAAGGACAAGGGCATCAGACATATGGGAACACCACCACCTTCAAGTTCCCCTCTAAGTCACTTACCATCCTGACTTGGAAATATATTGCCATTCCTTCACTGTTGTTGTCAAAATCCTGTAATTCCCTCCCTAATAGCAATGAGAGTCAACCCACAGCAGGAGGACTGCAGCGGTTCAAAAAGGCAGCTCACCACCACCTTCTCAAGGGTAACTAGGGATGGGCAAGAAAGCTGGCCAGCCAGCACACCCACATCCCACAAATGAATAAAAAAAGTCTTTGTGCTTCAGATTTCTGAAGCCTTTCCCATTTTTAAAAAAAAGTCAATGTCTGTTGTCTTGCTACTAATTTGCATAACCTCACTTTCCCAAACTGTATTCTGTCTGTGATGTCTTTGCCCACGTGCCTAGCCTGTTCAAGTCCTTTTGTAGACCCTCTGCTTCCTGAACACCACCTGTCCCTGCACCTGTCTTTGTCACCTGCAACCTTGGCAACAATGACCTCCGTTCTTTTGTCCAGATTGATGTGAATAGTTGTGGTCCCAACACAGTCTCTTGTGGAACTGCACTAGTCACTGGCTGCTGTTGTGGAAAAAACCCTTTTTCCCCCCACGCACTGCATTCTGTCAGTCAACCGATCTTCAATCAATGCCGATATCTTGCCCCTAACATCATGGGCTCTTATTCAACAGCCTCCTGTGCAGCATCTTGTCAAAGGCCTTCTGGAAATCCAAGTAGATCTCGTCTAACTTGCTTGTTACTTCCTCAAAGAATTCTTCTAATAGATTTTTCAGGTATGATCAGCCCCTTGACAAAGCTGTACTGACTCAGCCCTATCTTAGCATGCACTTCCAAGTGTTCTGCAATCATATCCTTAATGGACTCAATCTTACCAATGACAGAAGTCAGACTAACCAGCTAATAGTTTCCTGTCTTCTGCCTCCCTCCCTTCATAAACAGGGGTTTTGCATTAGTGGCCCCCTCTGGCTCCAGTGATTCTTGAAGGATTACCACCAATGCCTTCACAATCTTCTCAGCTATCTCCTTCAGAACTCTGGGGTGTAGTCCATCTTCAGATCTTTTGGCTTCCCCAGCGTCTTCTCCTTAGTGATGGCCAGTACAGTCATCTCTGCCCCCGACTCTTGAGTTTCTGTTTGCTGCTGGTGTCTTCTGCGAAAACTGATGCAAAGTACCCATTCAGTTTCTCTGCCATTTCTTTGTTCCCCATTACTACTATTTCAGCCTTACTTTGTAGTGGTCCAATGTCATCTCTCGCCTTTTTAAATTTTCATATATCTAAAAATGCTCTTGCCATTTTCTTTTTAATCCAATTAATGTGGAGATGTAGGTGTTGACTGGGGTGGACAAAATCAGAAGTCTGGTTATAGTCCGAGACAACAAGGTGCAGGGCTGGATGAACACAGCAGGCCAAGCAGCATCTGCTCCTATGATGCTGCTTG